TTATTATTATTATTATTATTATTATTATTATTATTATTTGTAATTTATATAGTTAACCTCTTTGTGGTTCGATCCCGATCTAGCAGAGTTATTTATTACTTCGACACTTTTACACTTGGGAGAAAACATTAATCTTTTAGTTGTGTCAATCGGCATTGTAACTATTCTCCAAGTTAGGGAAAGCCGAAAAGAAAAGGAAATCTCATCATTTGGAACCTCATCTCCCGTGAACAAGTGTTTATAAAAATATACTATCAACTTTTTAAGTTTATCTTCTTCCCACACCCAATTGTTACTAGAATTTTTCAGACACCCAATCTTGTTCCTCTGTCTCCTAATGATATTTTTGGTATGGAAGTAGGATGTGTTTTTATCCTTAAAATTAATTAAATTATATCGAGACTTTTGAGCTAAAAAGATTTCTTCCTTTTATAGAATTTGATTATATTCCTTAAAAGGAGTCTTCTCTAGATTAATTAAAAAACTGTTATGTCCCCCATTCAAGTGCTTTTAAACTCCTCCAAGCCTAGCTAGAACTTTCTTCTTGCACTGAAAAATACTCCCCAAAACTTCCCAATTCCAATCCTTTAGCTTCAAAGTTAGATTATCTAAGGCATTAATGAAGTTTGAACCATACCTTTATCAAGTCTTTAACAAATTCGTAAAGGAATCATGTGTTGTCAATGCCACTTCAAAACGAAAGGGCCTAACAAGTTTCTTACAATTGTCACACCTGGTCATAAAATCATCTAACAATGGGTGGTGATCTGATTTCACCCTAGGCAACACACGTATACTAAGCTTTGGGAACTGGATTATGAAAGGTTGATTACTAAATTCTCTACCTAACCTCTCGAATACTCTCTTGTATCCTCTATTCTTTGCCCTTCTCCAAGTAAATTTAGGTCCCAAACTACCCAAATCAATTAACCCACACTCTTGCACCCACTTATTAAACCTCAAACATCTCTTCATATTTATTGGTGCACCACCTTTATTTTTTTTTGCCCTTATAATTTCATTAAAATCACCTATAATCATCCACAATAATAAGATAAAGCTAGATAAATCCTTGATATCCTCAAAACAAGCTCTCTTTAATTGATCATTAGGGTTGGCATATACAAAGCTACATAGCCAAGAGTATAAACCCCCTTCATCAAAGGCCACATGGATGAGGTGTCTAGCAATTTTTAACACTTTCATATCAACCTTAAAACCATTCCATAATAACCAGATACCACCCGACCTTCCCACTACTTCAACTCTAACACTGTTTTCAATTATCAATTTCTCAATTACTCTATTGCTATTAAACCACTAACTCTCCTTTTAACCACAACTAACACATTAAAATTATGGATTCTTAATTCAAGATAATGGAGAAAAAACAATTACTGCCCACACCACTATAATTCTAAAACATAATCTTTATCATAAATTAGGATAAAAATAGAGTTATTACATGCAACCCAATGCCCATGAACCATCTCCTTAGTTGTCTCATCATCATCTCCAGTCATTCTCGTGTATTCATCCTCTTCTGGTTCCACGCTTACCTTAATATTTGTGGACTCCCCCAAAGTTACCTCTAACATTGGCTGATAATTTGGAGGACACAGGGAATGACATCTAAAAGGCTCAACACTCAAATCTTTTCCATGAATAACACCTACAATCTCTCTCTCTTGTTTTGCAGTTAGGAGTTTCTTCTTCAGATTAGAGTCGAATTGATTTGGATTTCTCAAGATAATTTGGTTTTGAACAGGGGTGTGTTCTATATTCACATTGTCTAACAACTATGTATTTCTCTGTGAATTAATCTTTTAGCTTGGTTGTAACTCATTATGGGCCTATTGTATATTAAATCCACTAACCTCACCTTTACTGTTAGGCACACACTAGCCTTGGGCCTTTATTCTCTCCTTATGTTTAAAAT